AATTGAATTTTTGATAAATTTTTTTTAATTTCTTTTTTTTTTTTTTTCTTTCACCAAAAAAAAAAAAAAAAAAAAAAAAAAAAAAAAAAAAAATTAAAATTAAATGAAATAAAATAAAATAAAAAAAAATAAGTAAAAAAAAAAGTTTCTATTTATTATTCATAAAATAATAATAGTATTTGTATTTTTATATGAATGTTTTAATTTTTTCTTAAAGCATTTATATATTTTCATATATAAAAAACTTTATTATATAAACTGGGTGTATATATAAAAATATATGTAGATCTGAATTTTTTTTTTTTATCTTCATATATTTTTTCTATTTTTTATTTAATTTCCTTTGTATTTCTTTTTTAATTTTTTGTTTTTCCATTTTCTACTTTTTTATTCTCCTTATTCCTTTTTTCTCTTTTTTCTTCATTTTTATTATAAATATTTTTGCACTCTATTAAAATATATTGGTTTATCCATATATTAAATATTTGTTGAATTATTTATGTGATTTATAAAATATATCATATAAAAAAATAGCATGGATGAATTAGGTTTTTATTCAACTTATGATAATATTTGTGAATATTTATTAAAAAATAATAGCTTCGAAATATCATTAGATGAATACCATGAAATATTAAAAAATAGAGAAAAAAATAACTATAAGGGACACACTTTTTTTGATTTGAATATTTTGACATTATACGATGAAGTAATAGATGTATTTAAATATAACAATTTTTTTATAAAAAATTGCAATTTTTCTTTTTTAAAAGTTACAAGAAATATGTATCAGGGTTGCGTGCATGTGTTTTTTTATAAAAAGGAACAAAAGAATGATGTAAAAACAGAGATGATAAATGAAAATGAAAAAAAAAATGAAAAGCAAAATGATACAAAAAATTATAATAAAAAAAGAAATAAAAATAACAAAATAAACGATAAAAAAAATTTAGTTGTTAATTTGAAAGTTAATGGGAATGCAGTTGCAAATATAAAAGATGTTTTAAAAGACACGTTTGATTCTTTAATTTTCTATATGATTGATAAATATAATATAAAATTAAAAATTAATCATTCTTATAGGGTGAAAGAGACAACTAATTATATTTTAATAAATGATGAAATATACAAATCTTTATATAGCGAAGATTATTTTAGAATTGATTTAAATAAACTTCAATTTGATATCAAAGATTATTCATTTATTTTTTATAAAAATATTACAAATTTTATTGATTATTTCAAATATATTAAAGACATTCACTCATCTGCATATATAATTTCCTTACTTGTTAGAATTTTGGCTGATAAAAATAGAATTCAAAAATACAGTGCTCAATTATTTTTTTGTAAAAAAAATGATGAATGTAATTGCAGTTTATACATAAGATTTATAAAACAAAATCAAGATTCTTTTCAAAAAGTTTATTTTAATAGTAAATCAGTATGTATAAAAAATATTATAGATTCATTAATATCCTTAATTGAAGAAACAAAAAAAAGATTAATGAATAAAAAAAATTTAATTTATCCAGATGAATTTCTTTTATGTTCTTTTGTAAAATCTTTTTATACATTTAAATTAATAGATTTAGAAAATTTTAAAACAAATAATCAGATTTTTCTTTATAAGCAAAACGAGTTAAAAAAAAATAGTGAATATTTTATACCTATAGTTAAAAATGAAGATAGTGAACAAAAAAATATAAATGAAAAAGATATATGTTTAAAAAATAATTCATTAAAATGTGAATTAAATGAAACCAAAAATAATAAATATAATAATTTTAAAAATAATAGTAACAAATGTAATAACAAAAGTGAAGATACTAATCAAATTAATCAAGGAAATGAAAAAAAAATCGAAATGAAGTTATCATGTTATGATATATTAAAAAAAAAACATTCTATAAAAAATCACGATTCATCAAAAAATTTTGAAAATAATAACTATAAAAATGAAAATATTAAACCATATAAAAGTTATTCCAATAGTAAAAATAATGAAGTTAAAAATAATAACAATAACGAAAATAATTTAACTAATAGCAAAAATAGCAATAATAATGTTGACAAAAATAATAAAAAAGATAACAAAAAAAAAATTAATAACAATGTAAGAAAAAATATAAATGAGGAAGGAAATATTAATTATAATTATAAAAACAATAAAAATAAAAACAGAAATAATCAATGTAATAATAATAATGATAATAATAAAACTAGTAATAACAATTGTAATAATAAATATGACAATAACTACAATAATATTAGTATCAATCATAATAAAACCAATAATAATGATAATAATAATGATAATAATAATGATAATAATAATGATAATAATAATGATAATAATAATGATAATAGTAATAATAATAATGATAATAGTAATAATCATGATAATAATATAGACATACTTAATAATAGAAATCAAGATAAAAAATATTATGAAGTAAAAAATACATATAAAGGAAAACATAGTAGTTTAAATAATATTGGAAATTCCTTTAATTTGAATTCAACTAATGAAACAAATAATATTATAAACATTAATAAGAATGAATTTTGTGAAAATGTAAAAAATATAAATGAAAAAAAAATTCATGATGATATAAATAATGATAATATATCAAAAATTGATAATAATTTAAAAAATTATATAAATGAAAAGCATATAAATAATATAACTTCTACTAAATTTGTTTATACTCATAATAGTAATGATAATCATACATCAGATCTTCAAGAAGAAAATAGTAATGAAACAGTATTAATTAAAACACAAAACAATCTTGAAATAAATAAAAATGCAGACAAAGTAAATTCAGATCTACTAATAAATATTAATGAAAAAGATAATTTGAATAGAGAAGACGAAAATAATAACAATTTAAATTTAAAAACAAATAAGCATAATGAAGAAACATTCAATAAAAAGGATAATAAAAAAGGAGAAAATATTTATGAAGAAAATAATAAAAACACTATCACCAATGAATTGACAAAAAGTGTAAATGATGAAATATTAAACAACCTTAAAAAAGAGAAAGAATCCCATAAAAATTCAAGGAATAATAGAAATGTTAAAGTGTGCAAAAATTCTATAAATAAAGATATTAAATGTAGTCAAATAGCTTCTAAAGATTATTCAAAAGAAAACGTAATAAGTATAAATAACAAAAGAAATAGAATGAAAATTTTTAAAAATACCAAAGAAAATAAAGAAAATGAAAATAACTCTAACATTTTTAATGAAAATACAAAAAAAATGAATAATATATGTGAAAATAATAATAATAATAATAATGAAATAAATTGTAAAGATAATATAAATCATGAGAGTGATAAATATGCAAATCAAATTAATCTATATGATTGTTGTTCTCAATATGTTGAGTTTCCTAATCATGGCAATTTGAAAAATTGTATGTTTAATAGAGATTTAAAAAAAAATGAAGAAATAGAAATAAAACAGAAAATTGAAAAAAAAGAAGAAAATGAAAATTTTAACGAACTTAAAAAAAGTGGTGTAGAAATTGATGAAATTTTAAAAGATAGTATAGGAATAAATGAAGAAATACATAAAAGTGAAGTAAATCAAGAAAAAGAAGAAAGTGATAGTATTGAAAATTATTATTTTTTTGAAAAGCAAAATATAATTAACAGAAAAAAAGAAATTGTTGATAATTCATGTGTTATATCTAATATTACTAATAATTGTAAAATTTTATTAAATTGTTTATATGAAGAATTGCCTATTAAAAATGAAATTTCTTCTGATGGAGAAAAAAAAGAAATTGACAATTTTAGTGTAATAAAAAAAATTAGTGAAAATTTTGTTTATTTAAATAATCATGATAAAATAAATGTAATGAACGTTTTATATAATTATGAATCACTTTTAAAAAGAATCTTACATTATGAATATATTAAAAAGGATTATTCTTTTGAGATTGAAACGTGCAAATTTTATTTAGAACATATAATTTATAAGAATGAAAATGATTTAAATGAAAAAGATCTAATGAATAATACTAGTGACTGTAATAAATGTATGAACGAAAATTATTTAAATGAGTATGAGAAAAATAAAAAGAGTTGCAAATTTATAGAAAATAATAAAAAAAAAAGATTAGTTGATAAAATAAATTATTATGATGAAAAAATTAAAATTTTACATAAAATAATTAGCACCTATACTAAAATTAATTTATCTCATTTAGACAATATAAAAAGTTATGTAGAACTTACGGAATATATTAAATTGTGTTCATGTAATATTTACCATAACGAATCAGTATCTGAAAATGAAAATGACAGTGAAAATGAAAATATTTACTTAAATAATTTTAAAATGCAAATTAAAGGAATAAAATATAAAAAAAAATATTATAATGATATATTTTATTCTAGAAATATAAAAAATTATAAATTAGAAAAAGATAAAAAAAAAAATGTATATCCAAAGGTACTGAAAGATTCTGAAAATGAAAAAAAATGTAAAAATGTATTAAAGAGAAAATTTAAAAATTACTTCAACGGAATAAATACTTGCGATAATAGAAATAGTAAAGAAATACTAATAGATAATTCAAGAATTTTTCATAATAATAATGTAAAATATAATAAAAATCAAAATTTTTTAAATCAATGTAATTTCGATGAAATACATGATGATACTACAAAAAAATTTAAAAAAAAAAAAATTTTTCAAAGTGATAATAACAGTGAAAGCACACAAAGTGCTTTATCATCGTAAAAAATTATGTTGTCAAATATAACATTTTTCATAATTTAAAAAATAATAAACATAATAATAAAAAATAATAATAGTTTATTTCATAAAAATAATCTTGATTTAAAAAAAAAAAAAAAAAAAAAAAAAAAAAAAAA